ACACGTATACATATATATATACATATATATATTCATATATATATATACATATATATATATATATATTTCATTTCTTTCTTCATTTATATATATACTTACTTGCTTTTTTCCACTCTGTTTTGTACTGTTTTGGCCTATTTGGTCTTTACATCTGTATTGTTATATATGTATATGGACTTTTTTCAGGAATAAAATATTGAATTGAGTATATATGCGCTCTTGAGAAATATTTTTAATATTTCTGGAAGACCTACATGCTTTTGTATCTTGTTACGGTACGGTTGGTGCTAGAGTTCTTTCAGACAGATGGGCATTCTCCTCTGCAACTTACTAGGTCCGGTACTAAAAGAATGTTGAGATTTTAAAGAATTTTTGTATTGTATATGTAAATGGTTAAAATAATTAATGATATGATATATGACAATTTATTCCTTGCTAAACTTGTGTGTTTGTGGTATCGATCGCCAACCTTGCGATGTGGTCATTTTCACGTGGATCTTCCTGTTTCCATTTCCGTCGCATGCGTGATCTAAATCCGAATCATTAATTCGAAGAATTGTGAACAAATATTAGGCGATGTTTCGGCCCATGTCCCCCCGTAAGTGTGACCATTATGTCTTGTTCATGTGCATCAGAATTAATTGAACACATTCCTCGTCATCGCCAAATCTTCTAGGTACTTGTTGCGAAAGCAGCGGAGAGCGTCAAAATTTCAATCACGCTCGCGCCACACGCTGTTCCCAGCCGCGGGAAAAATTACATTTTCGTGCATAAGAATTGACCACACTCGGCTCAAACACTGGCACATATGCTTTTGTCTACATGCAAGCTACGTGAATTATAGAGACAGCCAGTAATGAGCAACAATAAACAGCTTAATATAGACGCCAGCGCCGCATAAGAAGTGGGTCATATGATATCATGGATAAGGATCTTTCAGTTTATTAAGAAATATTAACGCCTCCAGATTAGTCTCAATCATGAAAATCGCATAATTAGATCAATTTGGAACTTCACAGTGTTAAACAATATGCGTTAATCAACGTACGATGCTAGCTCCTCCGAACCCTGTATCATGGCCTACATTAGAAAGGACATAGCAACAACAACAACAACAATAATAATAATAATAATAATAATAATAATAATAATAATAATATAACAACAATAACAATAATAATAACAATAACAATAACAATAACAATAAATAATAATAATAATAATAATAATAATAATGCTAATAATAATAATATATAACAACAATAACAATAATAACAATAACAATAATAATAATAATAATAATAATAATAATAATAATAATAACAACAACACTGCTAACAATGCAGAGAAATATAAATATATAATAATAATAACAATTATTGCTATTGTTATAGGATCGTTCAAATCAACAGATACTGTAAATGACCAAGTAGCTATAAATAACTGAAGGAAGATATTGCGAAGTGCAAAAGGTGTGAGCCGCTAAAACAAAACTGAAAGATAAAAATTGGTATATTATCATAACTGTATTATATAGGTTTATCCTTATTTTTATCCATAATATTAATGAAAATTAAATCAAAAGACCTAACTGTAACATTATTAATAATGTTTTATTATTATCATAATTATAATAGTAACATTAATGCCCTATTCCAAAGAGAAACGAATAATACGCTTTATGTTAATATATTAATCAAAGGTATGTGAAAAAAAATCAATTTCATATCATAGCACGTTTTATGAATAACAACAATGACTGAAATAACAGTTGCTTACTAATTCATTGACAGCTTTAATTTGATTTAATTTCATGTCAATAACGGTACCGGTAGGCTATATCTAGACAAATAGGCCAAGTATAGCCAATAGCGCTCATTATATATATTCTTTAATCGGCATTACCTTTCATTAGCACAACTAACAACATATACATATAAATCATACGCGAAAATAACATACACATAGGCCTACAGGATTTATGTTAGAGACTCAATAAATACGATCAAGACGGAACGAAAATAAGTACCGTAATACTGTTACCGGTACGCGCAAAATGTCCAAGTGATTTGATAACAATATTACGACTGTTGTTGTAAATACGCCTACTTAGAGATGGAAAGTGACTCTCATTAAATATTGGCCTATATTTATCAAATTTGATACACTTTTTTATACAAGGACCAGTAAAATTATTTTTTTCCGATTTTAGGTTCAAAATATCACTCTTATGTTCTTACCGTATTTTACCTACTTTTCAAAGATAGAAAATCATTATTATACAGCAGTATCTGTAACTGTATTATAGAGGGTGTTGCATTGTCACACCTACTGCACGTAGTACATGTTGATTTTTAAATTTTTTTTTTTTTAAATTAAAACCTCGCTAAAGTTATCCTCAATTTGTTCTTATTTTGTTCTTATTTTTAAGCAATTTCTTCCTCAGTATTCTTATAAAATGTGTTCTTAAATAATAATAATAATAATAACAATAATAACAATAATAATAATAATAATAATAATAATAATAATAATAATAATAATAATAATAGGCCTACTTCAATTATTATTTCATATTTTCCAGAGGTAAATGAGATGACATCAGATCGACAGGTAAACAAGAGAATAGGCCTATTTGATCGACAACAGCTGATTGACACTATCACTATGGTCATTGGAAAAATGTCACAGGTGTCACTTATTTAAAGTGACACAGGTGTCACTTACGTTTTAACAAATTCAAGTTTGGTTAACATTACACAATTATTTAACAACCTGACCTTGGCGGACGCGGAGAGAATCGGGGTCAAACGAAAACGAGGCCAATATGCAAGTGAGTAGTTATCACCATGTTGTCACTGCATGAATTTTAGCACATATCTACACCGTGTTTTCTTGGTATCTCCACAATATGCGCTCCTTAAGCGGAGTTTTCAAATTTTCACAAACATAATTACAAAGGAATAATAAAAATACAAACAAGGAACTTCATAACAAATAAATTCATAAATGCATAATAAGTCGGACGGAAATCGGGTTAATCATCAACTGATGTAATTAACAATTAAGTGGACTTTATTGATATGTCTGAATTGATTTATCAATGATAAAACAATTTGAGCAATTTCTCACTCTTTGAACTCGCTTTTCCTTCCAAGTTCTCCAAGGCAATGAGTGTTCAAGCAAAGTAATTGCGCATGTACTGCGATGACGTAATCCCGCGTTGGCATGTATGTACAACTAACATTATTCTGCAGTGCCAAAGTTTCTTAAACCTGGCGAAAAAAAAGAAATACACTTTATGTATTCAAAACGAAATTATGCAAATTGAAGGCACCCAATAGCTAAAACCTGTTTGAGAATCATTTGTATTATTAAAGCAGATCAGGGAATTAGTTTAATCGAAGTTTATTATAGAAATTGTTGATCTAATGAAGACTACTGTAGGCAATAATATAATGAAGTTATGAAGAAAAAAAAAATTCATGAAAATCCTTTTAGAAATTATCTTGCTCATTTTGGGAGTAATATAAAAATGATCAACTTAAACATAGACATTAGTGTTTAAAAACTATTTACCTATAATTTTACAGCGAAAAATTATAAAAGCACTTCCAGTCAATGGAAGTGTGTTACTGCATTATCTTTATTATAATTATCCAGTTTAAATCAGGGTACACATTTTTTGTTGCTGCAAAATGAGCAAGTTAACTTCAAACTTATTTATTTTATGATTGTTTTCACTTTCAAGGGTCAATACATCTTTAACGATGATGATGATGTTATTACAACATTATAATTAAATAATTAATAATAATAATAATAAAATTAATAAGATCAAGAGGCCTAGAATAATAGTAATGACTATGATGATGATAATGATGATGATTGTGATTATGACGATCAGGTTGATAGTAATACTTGCTCATAAAGAATAAAATACGGCATTCAGTTCATCACTGCACTTTTCATTTGCAAGTAAACAATTCCAATTTTGAATTTAATTATTCAAGTTTTTAAGCAACACAGTTGGTGGACCTAGCATATAACTTTAATGTGAATGGTTTGTAAGTTTTACGCCCAATGCAGCACTTCTCCTATTCCGACAGGCAACCGGTCCGGTCAATTTCATCATACCAAAAGGCTTACCGGTACTTTGTTTAATTATATACTACATTAGGTGACATTTGCCTTAATCTTAAAATAAAATAAATATAACTTTAGGCACTATAACATCAGAGGGTTGTGGCAAAGTACCTTTCGGAACACCTATCACTTCTATAATACTTAATATAAATGATTTGTAAATTTTAATCAAAATACAACAAGATACAACAGGGGTCAGTGAGAATGGGAAAAAAAGTACATCGACTTCGAACATACCAACAGACGGCCATACAGGTGTTCCCTCACAGGTTTAGGCATTTAATGTATTACTTTGCATAATTAGAGCTGATTGATTATATTAATCACTAGCCTATTCATTACGAGATACTTCCCAAATTTGCCATTTAAAATCAACTTTCAAAAGAATTTTACCCCACCCAGCTCAGGACGCATGTCATATTAGATGAACTTGTGACCTGATGTGCTCGTTAAGGTACAGGAGGTGGGGGAAAATAGGCATAACAAGGGTAATTTGCAAGAGTTACTCAGTCTGTTTGCATTTGTAATTGATTGGTTTCCCACGATTGCTCTCAACTAGGTTCTCTTGGGTGGAGATTTAATGACAAATATTATTGATCACTAATTGCGTGCATACATTTGCCGATTGATTTTTAGACCACTCAATATATTTCTTAAGAGTTTTGAATATTTGTTTAGTTTGTTTACGTGTAATAGTCTTTCTATTTAATCTTCTTTTGTAGACTCGCAAGTCGGGTTTATAATTAAGTGCAATGATGGTACAGTATATGCTACCGATAATTAAGGCAGGGAGTTGCTTAATGTAAAAGAGCGAATTTCACTTTAAAGAGTGCTTACAGAGATTACTTCAATTTCACTCTTTCTCGAATGAAAATTCAATCTTACATGAGTGAATGTTATTCTTAAAATAGTGAATAATCTCACACTTTTTATTCTATTTCACTTTAGTGGAGTTATCACTATTCACTCCTTTTCTCTAATACCATTTTGCATTTACAGAGTACCGTAGTGTTTACTTTGTTTAAATATTTCCCTTTAAGTTACGCATTGCGATTAGCAATGCACTGGTTCTCCAACGAAGTACAGTAAAGCTAATGAAACAGTAGGCAGGTTTAAAGGTTTATGCAAATAAGAACGGTAGATTTATTTCTTAATTGTTTATTGGCTGTTACATTACTCTAGTATAGCATATCATTTTCAGTCAACAGATAATCTTAATGGACCTTTCCACTAAGCTCCGCCCCTTGGATTTTGTTGCTAAGGTCCCACAAGACTGCAGCGTTAAAACATACGCGAGCACGTGCGTTTGTGGGACAACACGTGTGTTTGTAAGACGCGCGCGTATTCCTAGCTTTGTTCCGATTAGTCAGTTGTAGTGTGATTGACCTAGGCTAACTTAAATAAAAGCATCAAAAGCAACACAATAATACAGTACTTCATGTTTTTAATGACTCACTGTGATAATTTTCTTTAAAATTCATTTTTTCAACTTTACGACAGGCTAACAAATATTGCAAGAGCGGACCAAATTGATTGCTGCTTTGAGGATAGAAAAAACGCCGCATAAAACAGTAATATAAAATTAACATTTTAAATACATAATTCATAACGTCAGCATTACATAAATATTGGAAGTTTATGTAAAACGTTCAGGCCTAATCAGATATGTTCGATGCTATAGGCCTATTAGTTAGCATAGCCTATACAACAAACCAATTAGACCATAATCAACCGATTACCACTGCGTAATAGAAACAAAATGCTTATGCCTATTAACTGTTGTATTTTTATTTGAGCACAGTTATCAGTTTCTCCTTAACTTGAATGAGGCAATAATTTTTGACAGATAATATTACTATTATTGCGCGGACTAATATCTAAGAGAAGATAGTGGTGATACGACTATTTTGAAAAGCCAGGTGACAGCGTTGAGACGATTGTTGACAAGGCGTATCTGTAGGGGTTGACCTAACTAATCTACTAAGGATGCTAAGGTGCGAAATAGTGCCGTCGGCGACAAACGTACCTCCAGCAATATCAGTCGTGCTGCGCAGGAGGCAGGCCGGGTTGCGCATAGTAAGCCTACGCGGCAACTCTACGGTGACGAGTGCATTAGAATTTCGTTATTATAATCAGCCGAATAATCCAAGGACAGTCTTGCTTGCTACTGTTCGTAATTTGATGGAATGATTTACAGAGATATGCAATATCGCTAAACTATTAGCCACCTATATGGACGCTTAACCAAACAGGCCAACTTGTTGTGGGCCAGGTGAGAGAGAAAGCCACAAAATCGGTTCAGGTTACTCGTAAACTGCTGAGTTGATCGCTGGGATTGAAATGATTTAGTACGCCCTAGCATGATGGGTCCTATATTTGGATCGTACTCGTACGACGGCTGCTAATATTATACCCCGTGCTAGCACGACTATCTTCGTGGTGTATCTACTTCGTAATGAAAACTAATTAGGTTTACATGAAGTGTTACCAAGTGTCGCTACATTAATGAATTATTTGCATTCGTAAAAAAAAAAAAATCAGAACTGGCCCCGAAGCTAAAGATGATAAAAAGTAATACTAATAACAGGCCTTATACTGTAATGATATTAATAAATGAAATGATAATTAATAAAAGTATTGATGATAAAGATAATGATTATGATGATAATGATGATGATGACGATGATGATGATGATGATGATGATGATAAACGTTTGATAACTCATGTTGATGAAAACATCTTTATGCTGCAAAAAACCAGCACATGACTCATTCCAAAATGGGAAATGTGTGGCAGGAGATACTTGAATTATCCGGACCATGATGTGTTGGACAGGACGGTAAGTTAGGGTACAGTCTAGAGAAGTCTGTTTATAAGCTCATTAAACAGCTGATTATTAATTAATGTCGACTCGTGTTCTGCTCAACCAATCTCAAAACGGTAGCACCTCAGTTACTATCGCAGAAATTAATTGGAAATAGATTAAGCAATGGGGGGAGCTGTCAAAAGGAAACATTAACACTCGCTGTGAAATGTGATTACTTCGCCTGGACAATACCATGCTGGGGCCTCATGGGGGATGACTCTTCAGTCAATCAGCCCCCTTGAAGTTTACAATCAACCCTTCCTCGAATTACACTCCGCATTTTTTATTTTAAAAGTTCATTCTTCACTCGGAGACGCGTTACGGATACTCGTCGTACGCTCATCTTGAACATAAAATAAAAACGCCGTTATTATAGATAACGCTAACGGTGTTTTTAGCCCAACGGCTAACTATATTAAGAAATATGGACAGATCTAGGCATGTTATTCTTTGAAAAAATTTTTGTCATAACGGTGTCAAATTACCGGTATTGTTAATTGCCTTTCGACGTACCGTTATGGTAACGGCGTTACATTATATAGTCCGGGACACTTCCATTATGTAGACCTACATGGCCCAGAGGCGAATCTAGTATTTTGGAAATGAAAATGGTACCGATTTTAAAAATAAAGCGAAGTGAAAGGTGCTAAATGGACAATGGGTAATACGAAGGGGATGGAGCACTCTCAGCTGTAGCTCAGTCGGCTCGTCTGGTGGTAGCCGCGGTGTGTGCACTGAACCGTGGAGATCTCTAGGTCCCTGGTTCAATTCCCATCGTTGCCTCTCCCTGTGTTTCAGCTAGAGGGCTGAAATACAAGTT